GGCAGATACGGATAGACTATAGGAATCAATCCTAAGTCTCGGAGGGTGACGAGAGTGGAGATACTCAAGTCTGGAGGATGGGAATGAGTAGAACTAAGATGATATTTGAACTGAGGTGCTACAGAGAGTTACAGGAGGTTATATACTACAGGCACATATCTAACAGAATGATCATTCAGCAGAGTCTGAGGCTATGTATGAAGCATGTGGATAGTCTATTGGTAAGTAGAAACAGATCACAAATCATGAAACGGAAATGAAACATAGGTAACGGATCAGGGAGCAGGACGGATATACAGATAACCAAAACACCGGAGTTAGGGGGTTACCGAAAGGAGACGAGCGCTGGTTGTGGATTCAGATGAGTTGTGGACCAGACCAGATGAGTGGACAGATTGAATGACGAGATATTGGAGAGAGATAAGATGTGGATAGGATTGGAGATAAGATGTGGATCTGAGATGAGATAAGGGTTGGATCTGAGATCTGGATATGCAGATATGACACCAAGATGCAGAAGACCATAGAATCCATCAAAGAGTTGTGCAAGAAATAAGAGGTCATTGTGATGTTGTGGACTAGGCATAGATACCAAAGTGGTCTCTAGATCAGAGTGAGAGACGGGAAGTTTCTGCCATATAGGAATGCCAAACTGATGCTTTGCTCCCTGTAAGGTATGAGAAACAAGCTGAGCATACTGATTTTGTTGAACTTCAGGATAATACTCTTCCAGGAGACTACATATTCCCAAAAGGTAGTTGTTAATAGACCTTAGATTGATGTGAGCAGACATAAAGGTTACAAAAAGCAAGAGTGTTAAGGTCATGCTCAAGAGTCACAGATCTGAAGGGCTTGGCCTCAGCTCATGCACTGTGCCCCTTGCCCAAGTATTTGCACTTATTTCTGGTGGTAGAAACTAAGTCCAGGACTTCTGGAGTATTAGTAACTATTGGATCTGGAAGCCTAGGAGGTAAGATGTCAGACATCTGGATGGGTTCTAGATATTAAATGGAGGATGGATGCAAGGCTAATCCAGACAAAGTCCAAACTAGAAACTAACAGAGATAGACTATCCAAAGATAGAGGTGGAGATGTAGACTTATAGGAATTAATCCTAAGTCTTGGAGGTTGACAAGAGTCAAGAAAACTCAAGTCTGGAGGACAGGGATGAGCAGAACTAAGATGATGTTTGAACTGAGGTATTACAGAGATTTACAGGAGGTTATATACCCCAGGTATCTAATGGAATGGTCAGTCAGCAGAGTCTGAGGCTATGTATGAAGCATGTGGAAAGTCTATTGGTAAGCCTGACTGAGCAAAGGAAATGAAACTGGACATGAAACACACATAGTAGATCAGTAATCAAAGCAGGGGAGTATACAACTGAATAACCAGAACAGGGAAATGTCAAATGGAGATGAGTTTGGAAATGAAGTATGAATGCAGGATAGAGATTAGATGTGGATTGGATCTGAGATCTGGATGTCCAGAACCAGGCCCAGATATGCAGAATATGACAAAAAGAGTGTTGACAGAAGGTTCAAGGGGTAAGTGATGCAGGTCACAGAAGGTAATGTAAGAGTTGAGTGCTGAGGAATATAATTGATTAATAGACTGATCTAAAGCAGGACCAAGATTAATGGAACACTCATACATGAGACATTCCATTGACCAGGCAGCCTGAATTGGCTGTCTGGCTGCACCCAAAGATCAGATCATTTTTCAGCCACCCCCAGTATATTTTGAGGGACTTGGAATGGAAGTACCTGTAACCCAGGCAATACCTTATAGACACTTGAAGCCTGCCAGCATAAAAGATGGTCTGTGACTGCATTGTCTTCTCCTGAAATATGGAAGACTCAGAAGTCAACTTTGAAGGCAAGAATAATGGTATTCAAAGTAAAATTTTAAACACTTTGAAATGGTTCTGAAACATTCTGAAGCTATGTGTTTCTCCTGAAATATTTGATGACATCCTTGATCAGATCAGTAATCATCCTGTTTTCCATAATCAATCCAATAATCCCCAACTTCCAGTTGCAGTGCAGCTTGCTATCTTCCTTAATTGACTTGGCCACTATGGCAATGCAATTTCCCCTGAGGATGTCTGCCAGTGGGCAGGGGTATCTGTTGGGTCAGTTATCAACTGTACCAATCATGTTATGGCTGCCTTGCTGGCTGAGCATGATAATTTCATCTCCTTCCTGGCTCTCAACTCTGTTGACACTGCACATGCCTGAGCCTATGCTCTCAGAGTATCAGGCTGCCCAGAGTGGCAGAATGGTATCCTAGCTGTTGATGGATCATTATTTAATCTTTTTCAAAGGCCAAGTATTTTTGGAGATACCTTTTATAGTAGGAAGTCTCAAATTTCTGGGTATGTTTTATTATATATATATAAATTTAATACTGATTGTTCTAATTTTTAGGCAGTTATCATGCCCTATAATCTTTTGAAAGTTGATTATTCTCTTGGTCACACTGGTAGTGCCCATGATGCCTATGCATTCTGCTCTACCCATGTCTACTGTTAAGAACTATGCTCAAGGGAGAGAGAGACTGACTCAGAGGGGCTTGGCCTCAGCTCATATGCTGTGCCCCTTACCCGAGTATGTGCCCTTTATTTCAGATGAAGTCTGATGATGGTCCATCGAAGTCCAAAGGACTTCCAAAGGCTGGCTACTCTGGTAGAGAGTGTGGGAGGACTGCCAGAGAAGCACAGGAAATATACGGAGGAGTGCGGGAGAGTTCCAGAGGAGTTCTCTCTGCACAGAAAGGGAAGAGACCCCAGGGTAATACCTCTTCAGGAAACAGGATGGAAGAATAGGAGGTCCAGAGGACAGGAGGACAGGATGTCCAGAGGTCTGGAAGTATGGAGGACAGGAGGACTGAAGGTTAGGAGGATGGGACATTCAAAGGACAGGATATCCAGAGGTCTGGAAGGAATAGGGGCTACATTAGACTTTGTCTGATGTAGAAGCAAACAGAGGTAGACTACCCTAAAGTAGAGTTGGAGGGACAGGAAGTGGACCAAAGTCCAGGAAGAGGGTAAGTGCCAGAAAGGCAAGACTCCAGCCTAGGGAAGTAATCCCTAGACTTGGGACAGAGATATAGGGGACAAATCTGAAGATCTGGAATTCCAGCCTAGGGAATCCTTCCCTAGGCCTCATGAAAAAGGATGAGACTCAGATGGACTGAAGTCCAGAAGATGATTGGGCAGATCTAAGGTGATGAACAGGATCTAAGATGATACTCAGACTGAGGACTCTGCAGAAGTTATACAGGGGTTATATACTAGAGGATGTCCAAGAGGATCAGTAAGCAATGGAGTAAGGCTATGTACAAGCATGTGGAAACACATTGGTAAGTAAGACAGAACATAAGTAAATGAACTCAGAGATGAAAACTAGTACAAGGATCAATCAGCAAGATGGAAACAGAGATAACTGAGAACCAGAAAGATAGAGATGCCTAAATGGGGATAGGCGCAGGATCTTGGATGGAGGGTGGGAATAGGTCCAGAGATAGTAACAGTTGATATCCAGAGGTCCAGAGATCTGGGGATCCAGAAGGCAGGGCAGAAATAGGACTGAGATATGTGAGGTGGTGGATGTAGTCTGGAATCTGAGAGGTGGTAAAGTCTGGATGTCTTGCTGGATGGAATGTGCATAGGGTGGACAGGATAGGGGTGTACAGATCAGGCTAGTAGTAAAGATCTGGAGGTCAGGGGTAATTCCATAGCAGATCTAATCCTGCTTAGATATGGAGCACACAGTGGAAGGGGATCTGGGAATGAGTCAGATATGGGGTCTGGAAATAGGTCTGGAAAGTGTGGGAATATGATGGGATCTATGTCTGGCATATGGGATATGACATCTACCAGAATCATCAAGCACTTCTGGGTGATAACCATTGGATTTGGGCTGATAGTGCTTATCTACTAGAGTCATGGTGTATTCCCCCATTCAAGAAGCCTATTGGGTGGCCTTGACCCATGAGCAGAAGGCATTCAATACTGTCCTTTTCAAGGTATGTGTCCCATTTTATTTTATTCTTCCTGATTTTTCCTGGTGTGTATTCACATTTCTTTTAGATTTGTGTGTGAGTAGAGCATGCATTTCCTGCCCTTAAGGGCCATTTCCAGTGTCTCTGAGAGCTCTGACTCTCATTGCAGAATGAAGAGCAACCCAAGTATCATTCCTACTGGATCATGTGCTGCCTTATCCTACATGACATGATCATTAGGTTTGAAGAACAACATGACATCTCTGGTGGTAAATATGGTACTGAGAATTGGGCCCTTTTTAATGAGGGGTCATATCTCATACCACCTCCACAGCCAAAAGACTTTGACACTGATGAGGTGGGAGATACCTCATTTGAAGCACTACTAGCTACCAAGCTTGTGCACAATTGATGGAGTACTTATTGGGTTAGAAACTTACAAGAAATAGGAAGAGGACAGCAAAAGAAGTGTATTGGTAGCATAGGAAACAAATGACACGCATATACAACATATAATGGGGCATAAAAACAACTACAAGTGTCCAGGATCATGTATAACAAGAACAACAACAAAGGGAATATGTTGAGGGCATGAGACTAACCCTAACCTAAGCATGAACCTAAGCCTGACCCTAGTTAGACAATGAACCCCCCTTCAATTTTAAGAAGCTTGATCTCAAGCTGGAGTGTAGCCTTTTTCTCAGAGTGAACCTTGGCCTGGGCTGAATCTCTAGTGCTTTTGCTTCTTGAGAATGTTAATGGATAGCAGTGGCCTTGCAGCATTTGATCTCATAGCTCTGACCTCTTATCATGTGCCTCATGGTGCCCTACACCTGTATACCAGCAAAATATACCAGTTGTTTAGTGTCCCACTGGTGACTTGATGATATAGGTTGATCGTCATAGGAGAGATTAGCTAAGCATGCCCCCAGTAGTGATGCCTAGTGGTGCGCCTAAGCCACAAGGCTGATACAGTACTTGCTGCAAGAGTCAAGATGAACTTTGACAAAGATTCCTATCACTATTCTCCTACTTCTTTTCCTGTTAAGAAGAAAGCCAGGACAAAATCAACATCCAAACTCCCTAGAACACTGACTTCATCCATCACCTGGGAGGAGACTCCATCCAAGCATCCAGTCAAGCATGAGTATCCCTTCAGGATCTCTCTACCTACCCAAAATGCCAAATTGTCTTCAAGTATGCCTATTATGAGGCAATGTATTCTACCTGAGCTCCTCCCTCAATCTACCCATCAAGATCACTTTCCATCAGGTATGTTCTATTGAAATCAGTCATCCAAGCTCTATTCTTACACTACGAACTTCAAGTTTGGTGCAAAGAGGTGCTGAGGTACATTGTAGAAGGTGACCCTGAGATCCAGTATTTGGTATGTTAGCAAAATGACAATGGGTTGCACACTCAGTCAGTTTTCATGTATGCCAGGAGTTCCCTGAGATCTGTCCAGAGGAATACAAAGTGATATTGAAGTTAATTGAGGAGATTGACTTCCAACACCACCCCAAACCAAGGTCAGAGTACTTGGTGATTTCTGAAGAGCAGGCTGAGCAACATTACCTTCATGCTAGGTTAACCTATCTACTGCACAATTCCTTACTCACTGTTGAAATGCCCTCCACCATTCATGAAGGTTCTTTTGACTACATGTGTTATGGACTAGGATAGTCATAATAACAGCAACTCAATAAGAGTTTTGGCTGAAGTTAAATTGAGACCTTGCAAATGCAAGGGTCTTTAAGACAAGATGAAGAGAGTGTCTCTGACTTGAATATCGATTAGATGGCTTAAGATTGGAGGCCTTAAGCAAGAGAATGTTCAGGTGAAAACCTAGTAAGATTGAAGTAAGGAACTACTGAGTACATCATTGACTATATATAGTGAATCATAAGTAGTTTAGGGCAGGCATGGGTCAATGATGAGTCAGAGATAAAGAAAGGACATGTAAGTGATAAGAACAAGTCATAGAAGGATGAGTCATCTAGTGATAGCAATGGCGATTGTGATGTAATACAATAGGGAAAATGAGAAGGAAAATGAATAGGGGCGTACACAATTGTAACAACATGAAAGAAGCTTTCTCTATGAACCACATACCATACAACCATACTCTGGTGTACATACTCCACAGTGGCCATGAATTGGTCCCTGGTCACACCAACTGTATCTGCTACACCCAACATGGTCATTTCTTTCAAAGCTTTAAAAGTTCCCAAGGGTATTCATCTCACAAAACATGTTTATTGTGTCGCCATTGGAGAGACTGCATTTACCCAGAAGAAGGAAGCACTTTACTGCAAGACTAGAGCTATATTAGGTGAACACAAGGATGTTGAAATGGTCTTATTTTCATTAGTCTGGGAAGCCACAGACTATCACTCACCCATTACCCACTCTGTTATTTTCCCATCTCTGAGCCCTCAAGCCTCATCATCCTCATCATCCTCATCCTCATCATCCTCATCCTCATCCTTGTTAGCCTCATCAGCACCAGCACCAGCCTCACCCCTTCCTGGCACCCCCCTCTCCTTTGATGACTTCATCAACCTTAGTGATGCCATGGACTCAATCACTGACCCAGTCCAGGTAGCAGGGCACACATGGTGTCATATCACCACTGTTGATTATCTAGTCTGGGTTAGAGATGAAGGTCCAATCAACATAGATGTGGAAGACCAGCACATGGCCAAAGGCATAAGTTTTTTTATTACTCATTTACTATCCAACATTGACATCAGAAACTAATATATATTGCAGACACTGGCACCAACTTTGGACATGGATGTGGTAACACTCATGATTGAGAAAGGCCTCACTAGGATGCGGAATTGTCTGATTGCTTTTTGCCTGGAGTTAAACCCAGCCCTTGACACCACTCCTCTTAGAGAAATCAAGATGGACCTCACTCTGGATTGGAACATTTGCCTTGGTATCCTCACTCTAGCAGCACAGGAAACTGCATATCAATGGTACATTGTGTGGCACCAGGAGGAGTCAAAAAACCTCAAGTGAGGTACCCCTGACAGTAACAGCTATACTGATAGTACACAGGACAGTTCCACCTCAACATCTGGCTCCAGTAGCACATCCACTCCTTTGCATGACCCCAATGACCCTTCAGGATCTAGTACTGCCTCGCACAATGCCAGTGACCCTGCAGGCTCTGGTCCTGCACCCAACTCCCTTGCCTCTGAGGAAGGTAAATTGGGAAATCTGGAGAGAAGCAGGCCAGGCACAAGGGGGAATCCAGGTAAAAATAGAGATAGGTGGGGTCACCAACCTTACAAAGCTGCCCATATGAAGTAGCTTCACATGAGTAACTTCCCTACAATTATATCACAGTAGGCTTACCATCAGCAAAGACATGTTGTATTCGTGAGGCTAGGGTAAACTTTCAGCTTTGGCACTGTGACTTGCAGGAGTCATACGTGGTAACCATGACTGTGTTCATGCGAATACAAATATATTTGGCCTTCATGTAATGACTAAACTGCCACTGAAATCTTAAACTGACTGACATAGGTATGAGTAAAACTAGCAAGTGATGGTCAAAAGCATCACAACCACAATTGAATGCAATGCAGTGCATGCAAGATCTGACTCAGAAGTAGCTGAGGGATTCTCCTCTTTATGACCAAGCCTTGTGACAAATTACCAGGAAAGGCTGCCAGAGAGATGTTACTGGTGCTAGTGTTGATATGTAAGTTGAGATCTTGCAGTGAGATGAGAGGGCTGTCATACCTTGTTGCGCAAGTCTTCTGCATCCCTGACCATCACCCCATTCTCCACATTCACTCTGTCTGTCTCTGTTAGCCTGCTGTTCTCATCTCTATTACTGCTTGCCGTGGTCTGTTGGTTGTCTGGATGGTGCATTGAAGGTTCAACAACTCTGCTAGCTTGTAGAGCAAAAGAAAGAAAGATGCCTCTACCTCTGGGGTGAGAGGAAGGCTACTGACTCTCTAAGTGTTGGTCAAAATGCACCAAGCAATATGTTTGACCCTTAAGGGAAGCAAGGAAAGCAAGGATCCACAAAGTGACACCAGGTCAACTCTGGTGAAGTGCACTGAAAGTGCGCATGCAGGAATGTCGAGCGTGTAAGAGCGCAAAGCGTGGGAATAGGGCACACACAGTGTGCGAATGTGTGAGAACTGAAAGATGGCATGAAGACATGAAGTGGGACTGCTGAATGGACACTGATGCTGATGGACTGATGCTGATGGCTAGGGCAATGACTCTGATGGATGCTAACTCATGATAATTCTGACTGCTAGATGCTACTAGACATGATGTTGGTAGGTGTATCTCTCTGGTGGTGGTTGGTGTATGAAAACTTGCTAGGCAACAGGTAAGCTGTGCCTAGGTGCGCTCCCAGGGCTCAGAAGCGAATAGGGAGCGCTCTAAGTATGTAAATGATGTAAATAAAGGGTCCATGACAAAATAAGATATGGTACAATGCTAAATATGAGCATAAATGAAAAGGGATGCATTAGGGGACTGGTTGGACAGTGGATGGATGTGCTGGGACACTGTGTGGCAATGTGTGACTGAGTGCAGGAAGAGTGTGCTAAGCATGTGCATGGGAATGTGTAATGTAGTGCAGGAAAGCGTCGCACCTCTGGTGCATTTCACTGGAAAGTTGTAGATAGTGAGTTGCATGCTATACCAATCATCATGAGTCATAATATGGGTGATCTATGCCTGGAGGAATCTCATTCCCTACAGTGTGTTGTAAAACATCTTGAAAAGCACTCTCAGACTGAACAAGTTTTCTATGATCTGAGGCTGAGAGTCTGTGACTAATGGATTAGGGAGAGTGGAAGCTGTGGTAAACCAATAATATCAAGACCCATTGTCACTACAAGATGATTGATGATGAGCCCAACAGTAGACTACACACCTTCCTCTTGATGAGATCTCTACCAAATGAAGTGGGCCAGGCCATGGGTGGGTCACAGTTAGGTGATAGTCCACCTGCTTGAAAGAGATGGCCAAAGGAGTTCGTTGCAGCCACTTATAAAAAATTTGAGTGATGCAAAGAGGGTTGGAATGATTGTTAAGGTCGTACTCAAGGCTAAATGGATCCAAAGGGCTTTGGCCTCAGCTTGTGCACTGTGCCCCTTACTTGAGTATTGCCCCTTATTTCAGGAAGGCAAGACTAACAGGTCTGGAGGGTCAGATGGATAACATAGCGGATCTGGATGACTTCTGGATGTGGGATAAGTATCATAGGGCTAATCTGGATGAGTCCAGACTAGAAACTAGTGGTAGTGGCTGTTGTAGACAGAGGCGGATGCAGATAGACTATAGGAATCAATCCTAAATCTCAGAGGGTGACAAGAGTAGAGGTACTCAGGTCTGGAGGACAGGAATGAGCAGAACTAAGTTGATATTTGAACTGAGGTATTACAGAGATTTACAGGAGGTTATATACTATAGGTATCTAATGGAATGATCAATCAGCAGAGGTCCAAGGCTATATACAAAGCATATGAATATTCTATTGGTAAGTAGAAATGGATCACAAATAATGAAATGAAAATGAAGCATGGTAATGGATCAGTGAGCAGGACAGATATACCAATAACTGAATTACCGGAGTTAGGGGACTGCCAAAAGGAGACAAGTGCTGGTTGTGGATTTGGATGAGTTGTGGACCAGACTAGACAAGTGGACAGATTGGATGATGAAGTGTTGGAGGGGGATAAGATGTGGATTGGATCTGGGATCTGGATATGCAGATATGACAATGATGCAACTTACGTGTACATCTGTGATAAGAATGAAACTCATATTCCTCAAAGATAAACTGGTTATAAACATCTTGGATATTTGGTAGATTGAGATATGGTTTTGTGATGAGCAACAAGGACTTGATGGTGTCCACCTGGGTGCTAAGTCAGTATTCATCCAGCTGGAACCACAGGAGGGACACATGTTCAGAACCTCAGATGAGAACATGCCATCCCAAACAGCTTTTTGTGCATCCCAGTCCACCAGATAACCCTGCAGTGCTTCCATGGATAATGACATGTGCATGTAGTTGCAACTTTAAATAAATCTAACAACTGAAATGACATATTCTAAACTAACCCTAAACTGCGGTCTATGGTCTGGGTCATGCATGTGATTGCAACTTTAAAAATAAATCTAACAACTGAACTGAAGTGACATTGTCTAAACTAACTACAGTGGCTCAAAAAACTGTCCACATGTTTTTGCATTTTTTACTATTTACAATATTGTGTGAGAATACATAAAGACCTCAGTGACATGCTGATACCATATTGTGGTGCTGCTTCAGGGCTTTGGATTGAGCACCACATCATGAGAATCAGAGGAGATGTGGTGGAGATACAAGGCTTACAAAATCATGACTCATGTGGACAGATTTTTGAGCACATATTAAAACTATATAAATCATCATTTATGACACCATAACAATCATGCCACCATTAAATAAATTATAAAGTGGTGTCATTATGTCATTTTAAAACCATATCTAACTATACAAACCAAAAATTTCCATATGTCATGGTTATATTCACCATGAAAGCCACCCCCCTTGCTCAAAGGGATAATATCCTCTCTCTTTCCTATTCTGGCCTCTCTGCTTGTCAAATTTCCTCTAGAATTGGGGTATCCAAGTCCACTGTGGCCAAGTTCATCAAAGAAAGTCACACAGACAAGGAAAACGTCTGTGAAGGGCATCCATCCAAGCTCACCTCTACTGATAGGAGGGCTATTATTCAACATATCACTACAGGAAAGGCTGATAATGCTGTCTAGGTCACCTATTACATCAATTCCACCATCACATTCCCTGTCTCTTCACATACTGTGAGAAACATTCTCAAGACAGCTCATCTCAGGTCAGTAACAAGGAAGAAAAGGCTTTCCTCTCTATCACACATATGCAGAGAGGACTAGCACCCTTCTTTTTTCACATATATACCTTGCCATCTGACCCAATCCTATTTATTGTGGTCTTATATGATCATATAACATGCTTCCAGTCCATGTAATCCAATTCTGATGGGCTAAGGCAAAGGTTAGTCCTCTCTGCATATATGTGATAGAGAGGAAAGCCTTTTCTTCCTTGTTACTGACCTGAGATGAGCTGTCTTGAGAATGTTTCTCACAGTGTGTGAAGAGACAGGGAATGTGATGGTGGAATTGATGTAATAGGTGACCTAGACAGCATTATCAGCCTTTCCTGTAGTGATATGTTGAATAATAGCCCTCCTATCAGTAGAGGTGAGCTTGGATGGATGCCCTTCACAGACGTTTTCCTTGTCTGTGTGACTTTCTTTGATGAACTTGGCCACAGTGGACTTGGATACCCCAATTCTAGAGGAAATTTGACAAGCAGAGAGGCCAGAATAGGAAAGAGAGAGGATATTATCCCTTTGAGCAAGGGGGGTGGCTTTCATGGTGAATATAACCATGACATATGGAAATTTTTGGTTTGTATAGTTAGATATGGTTTTAAAATGACATAATGACACCACTTTATAATTTATTTAATGGTGGCATGATTGTTATGGTGTCATAAATGATGATTTATATAGTTTTAATATGTGCTCAAAAATCTGTCCACATGAGTCATGATTTTGTAAGCCTTGTATCTCCACCACATCTCTCTGATTCTCATGATGTGGTGCTCAATCCAAAGCCCTGAAGCAGCACCACAATATGGTATCAGCATGTCACTGAGGTCTTTATGTATTCTCACACAATATTGTAAATAGTAAAAAATGCAAAAACATGTGGACAGTTTTTTGAGCCACTGTAACCCTAAAGTGTTCATATCATTGAGTGAGAATCCACCAGTACTTGTCTGTAGGTGGAGTTTTGTAATATGTGGGCAGTGTGACTAGGATTTTCACCCACAGTACTGTACTGTAGGTGGAGTGCTATGGCAAGGCAGAAGTGTATGATGTGTTTGACTGAGAATCTAACCTAACTAACTAAACAATTCTGCCCATGGTACTGTTGTGTAGGCAGATTGAAAATGAATAAAAATAAAAATAAAATATTAATATTAAAGTAAAAATAAATAAAAATAATGTTTCCACCTACCATATAGTTCCTGGGGTGGACTCTGAGGTTAGAAAGGTCACCCTAACCACTAAATGACCCTAACCAATTTACAAAAATTCCCTTTAATTTTGTCTTCATCTCATGTGGTAGGTGTTTTTGTGGTCCTACTCTTATCCTGCTGACTCACTTCCTAGGACCACATCAACAATGCAACCAAAGGGCTGTGATCCCTACTCATGAGATCCCTTCCAAAAAAATGCTCAAAACCAGCTCCTTGGAGGTCAACAGGGTTTTGTGCACCTGAGGGCAGGGGGAAATTTGGGGCTGGGAGAATAATGGTATCACCTGCATATTTCATGCAGAGGCACAAGGTAGCTTTATCTCTCCATCAAGCTCATCTAAGTTGAAGACAAATTCAAAATAGAGACTCCAAGATCCCCTGGTGATGTCAATGTCCTACTCCTCCAAGCAGGTTCAACAATGACTGACCATGCTATTGATCACAGAATCATTCTGGAATGCCATAATGGCCTGTGCTGCCCCAGGACTATTTCAAGCTGGTACTGCAGCAATGTCAGGAGTACTGGAGAAGGTTTCTTCTCTGTCATCGAAATTGCCTCCAGCAGCTCAATGGCTGTCAATATTTTCTGGATTGGAGCTTATTGTGAACAGGGTGACCTTGAGCCACAGGGACCCTGGTGGCTCAGCTACCTTGTATGATCTTCTAGTCAGCCTGGGAAAAGGCCACCATGCAAAGATTACATTGCCAGACATCCAGGCTGAGCTAGACTATCTTCCTGGCACCATGCTTTTCATTTCTGGCATAGTGCTGGAACATGTGGTCAGACCTTGGGTCAATAGAGAAAGATTCATGACAGGATGGGGGTCCCCAGACCAGCCTTTCCTATGCACTCCTTCTTGGAAATGATAGGAGGACAGGTCAGCAGCAAAAGATCCACAAAGTCTTGAAATCATCCACAAGTGTAGACAGATGGGTCTTGTACGTCATGCATGGTTTGGCCAAGAAAGCATAGTAAGGCCTTTTGGTAATCTTTCATCTCTGTCTCTCCATTCCTCCATTCTGCACAGATCCTTCTTGGCCTATGAGGACAAGCAACAATAATATTACAATAGAATTTAAACTAACCAGGGTCACAACCCATTGAGCGCAAATCGCTGCCAGATATAGGCCTGTCGCCACCCATCCATTCCTCAAGAGGATGCGTTTTGGCTGAAATGGTGATCCGATATGTGCTAGCAGGATGGCCTCCATTCCTTGGAGGGTGAAAAAAAAGTCATTGATTGAGCCTACATCAGGGTAGGTGAGACTGATATATGGCACTGAATTGACTTTGAACAAGGAAACATCCTAATAAGGGGAAACTCCTATAAAGTATTGGAGAGCTTATATGCCAATCCTAGGGCATCATTAGCAACTCAATTCATTTTAGTGCCTTGAATATGCAGCTCCCCTGCTTGTGTCCAGAAACCCTTTAGGGTTGAATAGCAGCTAGGCATAGCATATTTAGCCCAACATTAGAAGGCTACTTTCCAGTTCTCTTCTTGTTGTGTTTCCCACACTGCTCTGTCTGCAGGATGACATCATCCAATGCAAGGATGGCACCATGGATGATGATCCTGCCAATGATGATGTGATGGAATGAGGCAATGAGGGTGAGCAAATAGATCCATGATTTATGGCACAGTCTACATGGGACCTTTAGGTCCCATGAGAGGGCAGGGGTGTAAGTGGCAGTGAGGGCAATGACAAGGGGGGCTTGTTGGAGGCATGAGACTGGGTGCCATTCTGCTCCTGACCATCCATATCAAAGTCCTACTCAAAATCATATGGTGTGCCATCTCCCATGTTGTTGTCATCACCATCAATGGTAGGGCAAGTAATGGCAGGGGGGACAAATAGCAGGGGAGGGATGAATAGTGGGGGAAGGGTTAATGGCAGGGAAGGGTTAACAGTGGAGAAAGGGTCAATGGTGGGGGAAGGGTTAATAGCAGGGGAAGGGTAAATAGTGGGGGTAGGGTTAATGGTGGAGGTAGGGTACATCTCCATTAGTTCATTTTCAGGTTCAGGAGGAGCCTTTTCTTTACCCTTGTGCTTTGACATGAGTGTGATCATGCCACCTGAGTGATCTGCCCCTGAAGCAGACAAGAACATTTTAAGGGCATATGCAGGGTTATTTTTCCATATCTTGTCAAGAGCCTTGTACCATGGGAATTCTGAGATCACTTGCTCTGAATTTTTAGATGTATTTTAGATAAATTCATTGAATGAAAAAGAAAAAAAAGTACCAAGTAGATTGTTTCCAGCATTAGATTGAGAGGGGTCAACACCTGCACCAGTCTGCAAGAAGTGACTGTGAAGCTTTTTGTACTTGTTCCTAAGACTAAAAATTATGATGAATATCTAAATATGAAAAGGGAAAGGATGTACTAAGTCAAACAATTGGACACAGCTTGCATGAACTTGGCTGGCTCCTCAGCATACAACTCATTATACTTATGATCATTCTGAAATACATGGCATGTAATCACCACATGGATTTTTGTCTTGTTACTCCCAGATGGATGGCCTTCATTGTCAGGTCTTTTGCCTCCTTCATTAAATAGAATGTGACAGTTAGTGGGATGAGTGGATAAGAATTGCTTGAGGGAATCAGTACATTGTCCATTGGCCTCCCACAATATCTTGATTCCATAGCATGCATTGAGTCTAGCATCTGTAATGGTGTCAGATTGGACAAGATCAGCTCCAGTACTAGCAGCCTGTCCTCATCCCCTCACACCATGAGTTGAAATACCCCTCCCCCTAGCACAGATAGATTTTTGGGTAGATTTGGTGGCCATAGGTAATATTCAGCAAGTTTCAAAGTGTATTCTAAGTCACTCTGAGCAACAAACTTGAGGATGCTCTACAGGCATCTTGCAGGTGCTGCACCAAGTTAGAATTCAGACTCCAAACATACATGCTGAATATTCTGAGAATTTCTAACTAGCATTACCCACATTTCAAAGCTTTGATAATTTTTACTTTGAACACCATTAATGACTTCAGTAATATTTATAAGGAGGTTATTGTAACCAGGTCCTCCAGATAAGGAGTTAAAGAGATATACTGAGTTCAGGCTATTAGTGAAAATAGCCAGGTGTCCATTCTGCAGCAAACAGGTAATGACATCATGAATCACAGATAAATATATCTTCAACAAGGGGATGTGAGGGAAGATTAGACTGGAAACCAAGGTTGAAGGATGGATACCAAAATCCCATCCCAGATCCAGAGATATTGCAAAATATTTGAAGGATGTCAGGTAGAAGAGGAGGATAACTCCATGAGTTAGACTTTAAGAGAAAGATACCATCAGACCACTCCAAATGATAAGCTACCACTTCAATTAAGCCAAAGCATACCTTTAGAGTTGATCTTGCCTTTAATTTTGGCACAAATGGCTGAAAGTCCTGGACACAAAAGTAGACAGATGTTTAATGCCCAGTTCAGCAACCCTGCAATATGCTTCAAGTCTCAAGGTGATCTTCTCCTCTTATATCTCACAAAGTCTCTTAGTTCTTGAACTAACCCTCTCTTCAACTCCTCTTTGAGAGTGATCTTCATTAAATTCAGATCAACCTCAAAACCAATGATGAGAAGAGGAGATCTGAAAATCTGATTCTGTTCTTCATGAGGGATACCTGGCTCATCTCAAAGAAGAAGGAGAGTGACTATGTTGGAAGGTAACATCTTGCAATACTTGACATAATATGACAAATGTCTGGCTTTGGCAAATGAAAAGGAGTTGTCCATGTATATGAGGGCTTGGATTAAGCAAACAAACATGGTGATCCAAATGATGAGGGACATGAAGGCATGAAAGATTCACTGGGAGGCACAACCACCAAATACATTTGCTCTATCAACTCAATATTCCCTGTCAAAAGATACAATTTGTTTGATTTGTCATAGAAGATGCATTGGCATATGATGATACACTATCCTACTACTTAAGGGTCTTATGTACAGTACATGCTATATAGTGACAACACAACTATACAGGATAAGCTTGCCAGTCCTTAAGTACATGATCTATGACTTTTCTAGTTTTCATGGTAGATAATGATAATGTGTGAGTTCTTCAAGGGAGGAATATGTTTCAATTATCCTCTTCTTGTTTCTTGATTAGTTTAAAACTAGTGGTCTTGGAGTACTGCATGTGAAGTTTGAACATGTTTGCAACTTGTGTGCTCATGATTCATGTCTCTCTTCCTGAAAAAGAGAGAGGAAAGTAGTGCAGATGAAACCTAGCCTAGTCAGCTGTACTTTAGTCATATAGTCAACCCCTGTAAGATAGTATATAACCTGAATAGATGTTTCTTAGTTTTACTTCAAGGTTACTGAATGGCCTGCACTTAAATCTTAATTATTTGCTCACATGGTTTGAGAGAAGAGTGAAAGTGGGAAGTCTATTTTCATAGGTGCAAAATGAGTTATATACCTTTTTGGAGGCCATCTTACTAAGCATGAAGAATAAGTAGCATGAGTTATCACATGGATTTGGTAAGATTGTGCTTACAAACCAAGCATTTGGGTGTGCTGAATCAGCCTTATACTAAGTGGATTATAAATACAGTTGCAAGTCTTACAAAGCATGACAAATCATGACCAGGAGTGAAGTTTGAAAATGAAAATACTAGCCAATAAATAAGGGAAAAATGATAGGGTAACTTGGTGATAGGGATCAGTCTAGTGTGTTAAAACCTTCCTTATCACTCCTGTTGTGTATATGTAATAGCAGCCAGCATGAACTTACAGCTGTTTACATAAATGATGACAGTATACAACTTTTTGAGAAAGAAGAAAAAATAAATAAATCTTACATACACAGCAGTAAATAACATGTCTCACATGTATGTGAGCTATGATTGAGTTGAAAATGACAAACTCAATATCCTCTGATTCTATGGACTCTGACAACAATTCAATAATGGCAGCTGTCAGGGACCAGTATGACATCTCACCAGAGGATGAAACAATTGTCATGGAACCCACTTCTGAACTAGAATCACAAGAAAACAAAAAACACAGCCCTGGTTGCCCTCCTAAGCCCAAGGAAGGTACAATTGTTCAAAGTTCATTGACCATTAAATACCTGAATGTGAGATTTTACTTAGTACCTCCATCACCACACAATGTCTCAATCTTGTACACTCTCATAGTGTTTTTGTACTCAGAAATGAAGAAACCAAAAGCAAGGTGAGGTGGAGAACCTGCAATAATCAAGCTTTCAAATGACAAGCCTTTCAATACCCTCAAAGCCCAAATACTCAAGTGCATCTCGGAAGTACTGAAACCCAAAAAACTTGCCTATGATGATTATAAAGTAACTTTCACAGTTGCATGGCACCAAACATCACCATTATTATCCTTAAAGAAACAGTTGGAATTCAATCACCTGCTTGAATGTATGTTGAAAATGAAGGCTCCTGCAGCAAAGATTCTTGTTGAGGCCTTGAAAAAACCTGATCCACCAATGGTTTGTACATTATGTGCATATATGTATGCTGTTCAATTCTAAGTTTTACAGCCAAAGAAGAAAAGAAGAAATGATAGGGATGAGCAGACCAGTGAGGACAATGATATGAGCCAGGGAAGCAATAGTGACAGTGATTGGAAGAAGAAGAAGAAGAAGAAGAAGAAGGTACCAGACATGGGATTCATGTATCTTGTTCATCATGACTGACATTGTATCCTCTCGATCACATGGAAAAAGGACCCTAGTGAACTCCCACTCAATGTCAAGCTGTTGGCACAGATGAAACTCTTGCAAAATTGATACATGTGCAACAAACCTGGCTGCCTCAGTTCTGGCTATTGCTACATCCGCTACATCCTACCTGACAATAATGCTCATTTCATGCTCTCTCATCAGCATCTATCTGTATGGGCAGCTGCATTGGCTGCTAAACCTCCAATTACTACAATTGAAAAACCACCAAACCACACAGAATTTGATGGACTGTTATCAAGCCTCTTGTCCAATACTGCTCTGTTGATTCAGTGCCACCTTGCTGAATGAAACAATGCACAAGCTGCTCCATCTGCATCAAATACTCCAACAATCAACTTTAATATTCCCAATGACTTCTTTAGTTTTCTACAACCTGCCACAGGACCAAATCCTCTGCTACATGCTGCTCCTGCAGACCATGTTTCAAACATGATTGACACTCCACTCCTTTCTGTCTCCACAATGCCTGGTCCAGACCTGCCCCTCATGGACTTCTGTGCTGCATTTGAACTCTCGCAGGATATTCATGCAAAGCTTGCTGACAGTGGCTATATAGGGACACAAACTATCAGGTACATCATTGTTTCTGAGCTAAAGGAGATGGGTTTCAAGAGTGGCAAAATTGCTGCAATGAAGGATGTAGTTGCATGATGGGCTACAAGGGACTGATTTTCATGTTTCAATTCAAACAATTGCTCTGTATTGTTATTGTAATGTGCTCACTGAAGGTTCAACAATTCTGCTGGCTTGCAGAGCAAAAGAAAGAAAGAAGGCTCTACCTCTGGGGTGAGAGGAAGCCTCTGACCCTCTAGGTGTTGGTTGAAGTGCACCAAGTGATATGTTCAAGCCTTAGGGGAAGCAAAGAAAGCAAGGATCCATGAAGTGACCACAGGTCAACTCTGGTGAAGTGCGCATGTGGGAATGTCAAGCATGTAGGAGCATGAAGCATGGGAATAAGGTGCAAGCTGTGCACGGATGTATAAAAGACTGGTAGATGTCGTGAAGGTGTGAACTGAGGCTGCTGAGTGGAGACTGATGATAGTAGGCTGTGCTGATGGCTAGGGCGATGACTAATGCATACTGGCTGAAGACAATAGATTCTGACTCTCTACTAGATGATGACTACTGACATGATGGTGGTTCTTGTATAAAAACTTGCTAGGCAACAGGTAAGCTGTGCCTAGGTGCGCTCCCAGGGCTTGGAAGCGAATAGGGAGCACTGTATGTATGTAAATGAGGTAAAGAAAGGGTCCATGATGAAATAATGTATGGTATAATGCTAAATATGGTCTGATAGCAAGAATAAATGAAAAGGGACTCACCAGGGGACTGGTTGGACAATGGATGGAGGCTCCCAGATGCTGTGTGACATAAGGCGACCAAGTGTGGGAAGAGCATGCTAAGCACATGTGTGTGAATGTGTTGCATAGTGCAGGAAAGTGTTGTACCTCTGGTGTGTTTTGCAGGAAAGTCATAGGGGGTGGGTGATGTGCTGTACCAATCATCATGAGTTGAAATATGTGTGATATATGCCTAGAGGAATCTCATTTCCTACATTGCACTGCCAGGACTCAACTTGAAAGCCTTGAACTAGAAATATCCCACATGAATGAAATAACCTGGGGGAATAGGGTGGAATATATTCAACTTGGACACCTACAAAAGTTTCAATTCAATAGTGAGATCAACTCACATTTGATCAAAGGAGCTTACCATATGCTTCTATTAGTTCAGCAACACCCTCTCCATGATGAATTGTTGCATTGTCCATCACAAGGACAGACAGAGGACCAGGATAGGGTGAGCACATAGGAAGCTGAGGCATGTTAGGACATTCACAACAGTTTGAATCAATTATGCACCACTGTAGACTGAAGAAACTCGATGTAACCATGCCATCAATAGTCATGAGCCCCAATGTGGAGACATGTTGTCCATGGACAACAACCTGACAGCTAGTGGCACATTGTCCTTTGGGTGCATGACCATGCAAACACCCTGGGGTACATTTATCCTTTGATGTCTTGTCAAGGAAACCAATCTCCTTGGGTGAATACTGGCTCATGCGAACCATAAATGCCATCCTCCACTGTTCATTCCTTTCCTTCACAATTTGTTCAAGCTTTATGAGGGAAACACTGACATGCTCCAGCTCATGATGAATTGTGCTGTAGTGTACAGATACAAAATGATTGCTATCCAGCAGTCTGAGCAGTTTGTCAAGGAACAATCCAGGGCAGTGATGGACAAGATGGATGAGGTAAAGGACATTGTCACAGTGCAGAACACAAGGGTGTTCATGAAGGCTACAGGTGGGGCTAACAACATTGCCTGTCTCATACCAAAGTTTAAGGACACACCAGAAAGTACTTTCCAAAAATCCAACACAAGTGAGAATGTCCTGAAGAGAAAGGTGTCAATGCTCATAGAGATTGATGGCAGCAAGTTTGATGTTGTGACTGATTTTTCAACACATCAATGTTGATTGTGGTTAATTGTTGCAGCACAAGACAAAGTGTTACACTAGAATATTTAATTTTTCTTCTTTCCAAAAAAGTTGCATACTGTCATCATTATTAATGGGTGTCTTGATGTTGTGTTGGTCTTGCTGCCCAGGGGTTGGTGGTTCTTTAGAATGACCAGCATTAAGCTAAAAGAGAATGGCACTCTTTTAAGTAGTAGAGAGAGATCCCATGGTGGTAATGATTAAAAATAAAGAAGCAAGGGAGCAATTTCAAACTCAGACATAATATTTTTATGTATATTTCTATTTATATAAGCAAATAACAGTAACCATCCTCTGATTTGACTGAGATCCCACCATCTATATCAACAGCTACAAAACTGTTATAATGGTATCTCTGTCTTAAAATAGGCATGTCTTCACATCCTCTTGGCCAAATCATGTGATCCAAGTGTCAGTCTGTAGCCAAGGGTTTGTAGTTCACACGCCCCTACCAACACTAAGCATGATTCCCATGTGCATAGGTGCTATATTGTGTACACTGAAAAAGTACCAAACATTGTAACGGTTTTGCAAGTCACTGTAAGCAAGGTACTGATGGAAAACATAAAAACAGCTTCTTCACTTGCCCCCCTTCATTTCTTTAACAACAAGCTTGAGTCTACTCTGCAGCACTCATCCTTACTCTAGATTTCCTTCTTTTTCATCCACCCCAAGGTCATGTTAACAAACAGCAACCTTCAGTGCAAACAAGGTGGGAGTCAGGATTCAGGGATCAAAAATGATCAAAATACATGTTATTAGTATTATAAGTATTAACACTATTGTATATATTTGAATAGCACCTAAATTTTAGATTTCCAGTGATTAGAAGTATGCACATGGCTTACAGTAATGGGTCTCAAAGCTAAATTTACTACACCATGAAAAACAAGCTAAACTTCAGCACCACCCAAGAGTTTTGGCATCTTTAAACTCTGACAGACAGCATACTCAGTGATATTAATTTGATAGCACTGTTATTGTTACCATTGCCATTACCAAAGTCTTCTGCTCACATTTTATCATCATGGCAGGTATAGCTGGTCATGGCCATGGTTGTGATTGTAGTTGTGGTTATGGTCATGGTTATCTGAAGCATGATCAAGAACTCATGATGGAGTCTTCTACTCCTCTGAGTGCTAGCCTACCTATTAGTGCAGGATCAGGATCCAAGGCACCTATAATATATTGGGAGAGCAAGAAATTCAATGCATGCACTGCTTGCCTGATCAAGTGATGTAAAGTCAATCAAGATGCTTGGCTTAAAATATTTTCTAATTCTGCAAAGGATGCAAAGGAGAAAGAACACACATGCCAACAAATGACCACACAGAAGAATATATACTTGTAGCAGCTTGTAACAGCTATTTTCCCATGGTGAGCTAATCTTCATGGGTAGTCAACCCTGCATATAACATGTTGTTTTCAATGGCTAATCTAGGCCAGGATTCTACAGCTGAGGCAGCAACTCTCTGTGGGACATGCAAGGGGAAGGAAAAAAAGATTACCCTGGATGATGAAGATCATATTAATGTTGAGAATGATGAGGGAGATGTGGGGCTTCTTGATAAGGAGCTTGAGCCTGGCAAAATCCTAGATGAAGGGATTAACAATAGTGAGGATGATAATTTTCCAATAGCTGATGACAATAGACCCTCAATGCCTCAGACTGTAGACTTAGACAATCTGAGGATAACCCAGCAGGGCCTTGTTATTTTACTTAACTCCACAGAACCAGATGGTGATAGAGGATGAAAATTCTCCTTGTTATCTATCATTTTGTCTGGCAGCCACAGAACAGTCCTATGAGTTGCACAAGCAGACTTGATGGATGACTCTGATACATCTACAAGGCATATTATAAAATCACTGATGGTATATTCCTGCAAAGTCAGTAGTACTACAGGTGCTCACAATTCCAGTCACACATTATCTGAGCAGGACTCTGATATCTTGCCAACTACATCCACTACATCTAAAGGATCTCACAAGTGGCCACATGACATGGCAGCTGAGTTAACCATAAAGATGGGTCAGGCAGATACCCTCATTTAGCACATCCAGGACTCATCAATAGTTAAGGCCAACTACAAGCACTTAAAGATGCAAAATAAAATAGCTGCTATGGAGCTCAAAGCTTATGAAAATCAAGATGAGCATAAACACTTGTTACATTCTGCTTTGGCAGATCATCAGACAAAGCAACTTAAGTTGGAGGTCAAGCTCAAGCAAAATAAAGTTGGATCACTTGGCTCTGGAGAAGAAGAAGGAATCATAGAAGCCTGAGGCAAAGGCAAAGGAGAATCATTAGGGTGGTAGCTCTGGTGGTTTTCATTCTCACAACTGATCTGGTTTTGTGCTTTTTCTTCCATGCTGTAGGCATTTAGGCTCACATTTGAACCACATTCTAGCCCTATGTTTCTTTGTTGTAGGTAAATCATATAGCAATTCTTCTGCTTCTGACAATGAAGCCTTTGAGCATAACTATTGCGTTGACATTATGGACAACCCCTCCTCCACACTTTCTTTACATCAGGTATAAAATTTACAGAGGTGTGTGCCTACAAACTACCTTCTTGTTGTCTGCATAATAAGTGGTTCATTAGTGTGTCATGGAAAATCTGTCCTTCAGTGTCATTGAAGCTCTTATCTCTAGTACCACCCTCACCATCTGTATCACCTTCCTCTGCACCATTTTCAGTGTTACAACCACCCCATTGTCCTGCTTCTTGCATCAAGTCCTTAAATGTATTTCTATGAGTAGGCACTTCCTCAATTTCAACAATCATGTTATGAAGAATAAGGCAGCAATGTGTCCACATATTGGCTTCATCTAGGTCTTGTTGCATTTATATTTGGTTGTGCATTTCATGAAGGAACTGAAAATGTCATTTCAATGAACCATAGCCATGCTCTGACAAAATGTGAACATGTGAACACTTTGAGTTACTTGTATCCACACATGGGAATGGTGTGTACTAAACCTTTGACAAGTAATAATTGAACATTTTTTGATCCCTGGTCAACTCCCCAGCTACTGACTGTTTCAACAGCACAATGCACCATAGATGAGAACCATAGGCTGTGTTGGCCTAAAGCCGCCCATTTCCACCTAAGAAGGTATCAGGATGATGTGCAATTTGAGCTTTCAAAAATGCATTCAAATTGTGCACACTCCTAGGAATGCTGATGACATAGTTGACAATATAAAGGTTATGCAGCATAATCACTACCTTTTGGGTACATCAGTTTCATGTTTTCAGCTATTACTCATGATGCACTTGAGCTGACAGAGAATAATTAGATTTACAGTCATAAAACCCCTCTCCATGCCACCATCCTGGTTTCTGGAAAAGGTTGATTGGTGTGCTGTTGACACATAGAAACCCTCCCTTCATTTCAGACAGGTTCAGTCTTCAACCCACTGTTTGGCTCTCTCTTGTTCCATTTGGTCATCCTCAAAGAGTGGATCAAAATGGATTACAGTGTTGTGATGCTACAGAAGTGCAATAATGACATGATGGTGACAATTGCATACAGTGCCTGTTGAGACACTTGCCTTATCTGCCATGACATCTGTTATCACTGCATTTCTGTAATGACCAGCACTATTTAAAAAAATTGCAAGTTGCACAGAGACAGGTAATAGAGGGTATTTTGAGTTATTCTGGAAAATGAGGTGGTTGATGATTGTATTGACAAGGTGTGCAAAGATGGGAGCATCCACATGAAGTTTATGATGAAATTTCTCAGGGTGGTCCAAATGCCCACTCCTCAAGAAGATATGCCTGCAGTGCATGGCTCAATTTTGGATGTGTAAAAAAAATGTGACTCTTTTTGACCTCATCCTGCAGGGCTTCAATTGTGTCCAAGAATTCAGTAAAGGCATGTGAAGTTGTTATCATTTCAGTTAGTGATTCAATTGAGGAATTGCTCAATATTGACAACATCAACAATGTAGATGAAGTCATCCCTGAATTTCTGGACTTAGATGCATAAAAATCTGAGTCATCATTGAAGGTTCAACAACTCTGCTAGCTTGCAGAGCAGAAGAAAAAAAGAAGGCTCTATCTCTGGGGTGAGAGAAAAGCCTACTAAATCTCTAGGTGTTGGTCAAAGTGTGCTGAGCAATGTGTTCAACCCTTAGGGCAAGCAAGGAAAGCAAATATTCACAAAGTGACACCAGGTCAACTCTGGCAAAGTGCGCTGAAAGTGCATGGGCAGAAATATGGAGCATGTAGGAGTGCAAAGTGTGGGAATAATGCACAAGCTGTGCATGAATGTGTAAGAAACTGAAAGATGGTGTGAAGGTGTGAACTAAGACTGCTGAGATGAAACTGATGATAATGGACTGTGCTGAGGACTAGGGCAACAACTGATGGATGCTGACTAAAGATGATGGATTCTGACTACTAGATGCTAAGTGACATGATGGTGGTAGGTGTATGAAAACTTTCTAGGCCCCAGGTAAGCTGTGCCTAGGCATGCTCCCAGGGCTTGGAAGTAAATAGGGAGCACTCTATGTATGTAAATGAGGTAAAGAAAAGGTCTATGACAAAATAATGTATAGTATGATGTTAAATATGGTCTGATAGCAAGAATAAACAAGAAGGGACTCA